AAAAGAATCCTTCTATGTACTAATTCTGCAGCCTGCTTTACTTGGTATATACATGTCTCCATTTCATTTAATTTTTTCATAGTCATGGTTTTCACTCTTTTATGTACAATTGCATTAAGTGTTTTCACCTTAAATCCAGTTTTATACCATAAACCAGGTTATGCCTATTCTAAGTCATGCTGGATCAAATATCTTTGTCTATGAATTTTGTGTCATTGTTTACTTTATTAAGATAAAGTCCCCACATTAGAAACACTGGATCAAAGAAAATACATCAAAGGGCCACAGAATTAAAGGATCCCATTTTGCCATCTTTCACATGTTCAAAGACTTCATAGCTTATATTCCTGCCAACAGTGACCCAAAGTGCCCATCACATGTCATCTTTGCCATTTTCTGTTGGGTTTTATTAGACTTTTTGTCTGCTTCATCTATTATCTTGCAACTTAGATCACAATCTTGAGCAGCTGCTGGGCAATCTGCTCCTCTGTCTCTGCCACAGAACTTTGCCTAGGGTCGCTCACATACTGCCAAGTGTGTGACTTTCTATTGTCTACTTTCTCTCTGGAGTTAAGAGCTGGATAAAGTACTTAGTCAGTTTGAGAAGGAAGGTTACAGTCTTGTCCTCAGTATTCCAGACTTGGGAGGAAAAGAATGAATCATAGCTTTCTGGCTGGTGTGCAGGAGGTACCCAGGGGAGCAGGTCTGAGAGAGAACATTAGCTGGCTGGTTTACAGGATCAGCTCTCCAGCGTGTTTGAAAGGGACTTTTACACTGCTGTCTGTTCTTCCTTCACAACTGGAGATGGGTGTGGAAAGAATGGGATCCAATTTACAACTCAGTCGTGTAGTAGAATGAGTGGAATTTTCCAGCTGGTTGCTCTTCTTGGTACTTGGCAGAGTTACAGCTTTGCCTTCTGGGAGCTGTTAGGCTGTGAGCCCCAAAGCTTAGCCTGCTGTCTCAGCAGGTCAGATTGTGGGAACTCTGTTTTGGTTGGCACAAACAACCATGTAGGATTTCACACCATAAACGCTGCTCTTACTTTCCTTGTGCTGGAGTCCCAGTAAACATGTTGACCAATGGGGCTAAAGTGAGGAAGGTGTTGCAGTCCGCCCCTCAACACATGGGCACACCCTTCCTGATCACAGAATCCCTGGCAACAGGAAACTCTCCAAATGCCACAGTGTGGGGGAATCTGCTGGGAAGAACACACTGCTTCCCCAAGTCTACACACCCACTGTGAAGAGCAGATGTTAGTTAGGATTCCTTTCCTCATCCTGACTTCTTCCACCTGGTGGGACAGTTCTTGTTCTGTCATGAGTAAAAAGCCTTCACTGATAGAGGTGTTCAACTGTTGGCCACATGCAGTCCGGAGGACTGTGAATGCAGCCCAACACAACCTTATAAGCACTGTGAGGACCTTTTTGTGACTTCTTAAAAATTATATTTCACCATTCTTGAGTATGATGATGTAGATGACAGCAGTGTCATATCCCAATGTCAAAAGGTTGGATACTCCTGGCAGCGTGCATGTTTTCATGGACTGAGGTATCTGGGCACATGCTCACCATCTTGTGTTAATCTTACCTTCCCACTTGTGGACTGAATATTAACCATGCTTACTAAAAGCAGTTCTCCCAAGAGGCAGGGAAACCCAAGTGGTAAGTCTGTACTGACCCACACTCCCATGGAAGAAAGAGCCTTTCTCCACTGCTATGGGCCAGTTGATTTCTCTACTATCTACGGCCATCAAATACCTTACTTTTTAGGGTCTCTTCTCCTCAAAGCCATTGTTTCAGCCGGGCGTTGGTGGTGCACGCCTTTAATCCCAGCACTCGGGAGGCAGAGACAGGCAGATCACTGTGAGTTCGAGACCAGCCTGGTCTACCAAGTGAGTTCCAGGACAGGATCCAAAACAATACAGAGAAACCCTGTCTCAAAAAAACCAAAAAAAAAAAAAGCCATTGTTTCTTTAATCTCCACATTGGAAGCTTTCTTCAAACTAGTAATCACTGGGGCTGATGAGATGGCTCAATGGTTAAGAATGTTTGATGCTCTTCTAGATGACCCTGGTTCAATTCCAAGAACCCACACAACCATCTGTAATCCTAGTTCTAGGAGATTTGATGCCTTCTTCTGGTATCCAGGATTATACACATGGTGAACAGAAATATATCCTGGAAAACGGTCTCAGACAATGAGAAACATGGGGGGAGGGTCCTGTGCTCAGGATTTAATAATTGTTCTTTGCACTCCTGTGCAAGATCCAGCCTGTTTATATCTGTTAGAAGCACCCAACTTTGCAGGGTTGTGAAATAAACTGCCACACTTTTGCTACTCTGAGTCTCCAATGCTCATTACTAGGTGGATGTGTTGGGGGGCTGTCATCATTTCTACTCTGAGTCTCCAATGCTCATTACTAGGTGGATGTGTTGGGGGGCTGTCATCATTCTGCATAATAATGAGCATCTTTAAAAGATTTATTTTTTTGCTATTTTTTCTATATATGACCATGAGTGTACAATCATATCATTATCTGCCCCTTGCATTTGTCTATTTCTCCACAAAGTCATGATGAGTTTATCCCTATGTTGTATTACCTATTTATTTTAAAGTTTGTTAGAGGTATGGACTTGTCATGTCTGCAGGTTATTAGGCAAGCTTGGTCATTAATGTTTTTTTTTTCATCTATGTAGGATCTCTGGTTGTGGGTTCAGTCTCCATGAGCCTCTATGAGCCCAAGTTAGTTGATTCTGTGGGTTTCTTGTATCCTTGACCCCTCTGGCTCCTACTATCCCTCCTCCCCCTCTTCAGCAGGGTTCCCTGAGCTTGGTCTAATGTTTGGCCCTCTGTACATAAGCTACAGGTGTGTAGGTTGGTTTCTTGTAGGATTCCTAACAGTGGGAGCAGGGGCTGTCTCTGACTCATTTGCTTCCTTTTAGGACACTTTCCTTCTTTTGAGTTGCCTCATCTAGCCTTGATAGGAGAGGAGGTATCTAGTCTCACTGCAACTTGATATAATATGGCTGGTTGATATCCATGGAAGGTCTGCTCTTTTCTGAAGAGAAATGGAGAACTAGATGGGGATGGGGTAGAGGAAGGTACTGGAAGGAGAGGAAGGAGGGGAAACTGGGGTATTGTGTGTAAAAAAATTAGTAAATAGAGTAAAATAATTATTTACTCTAACTTTATAGTGTACATAGGGGTGTCTAGACTGGCAAACATTAGTAGGGGCCTGGTGTCTTCATCCATAGTTAGACCTAAGTGGACTCAAGGCACTTTGTGTTTTTTTTAATTATTAATTTTTTTTTATTTTTAAGTTTAAATTTAGATTAGAAACATGGTTGGTTCACAAGTCAGTTCCAGGTCCCTCTCCCTTTCCCTCCCCTCCTCCTGTGCCCTCCCCCCAACTCCCCCACTATCCCCTCATTTCCCCATGGAGGCTGAGGCCCTCCATGGGGGGTGTCCATAGACTGTCATTTCATCCATTAAGTTTTATTTCTTACACTGTGACACACAGGGTGGATCTGCATGCAACACAGGTGTGCAGGATCTGATAAAGATCAAACTCTATTTCTGACTCCCTTGAAGTTTTTGAGCTCTGGTAATTGAAGCTTAGATGTGGGACCAAGTTATATATGGAGGGATGCAGGGCAATAGGCATCTGTTGTCTGTGATGGCTGTGCCATGGGTTGTAAGATTCTGGAATTGCCAGATGTAGCAATGGCTTCTCAATTCAGTGGGCAGCTTTTTGACCCAGTAGCAACCTTGGTGGTTCAGCTCTAGAACATGAATTTGGAAGTCATTTCTGGGGTCAGTCTAAACTCTTTAGCCAGCTGTCTCAACTCCTCCATTTAGTCAATGCCTTGGTAAGCCTGCTGATGTAATCTTATGGTTGCAAAGCTGTGATATTTTTTTGTACCTTGTTTACCTGATGATGGGGACAAAATGTTGTAATTTTACTCTTGCCTTAAGATGGATTTTTTTCTCTAAAGCTAGCTTTGAACTATCCTGTTCCCTTTTATCAATTTTCCCTTACAATGGTGGATGTGTTTGTACTGAACTTTCTCCTATAATTACACTGAAAGTTTTCCCTGGAATGACACTGATGTGTCCAGTCCTAAAAGCAACTGTTTTTCTGGGCATGATGGTATGTATCTGTAATCTCAGCACTTAGGAGGGAGAGGCAGGAGGATCAGGAGTTCAAGGCTACTCTCAGCTGCTTACACTTCAAGTAACACATTTGAGGCCTGGAAATGTGAGACCTGTTACAAAAAAAAAAAGTTTTAAGTGTTTCCATTGTTGTTAATGCAGTTAATTGGAAGAGTTCAATGTGTCACTTCATAGAATTCATATATTGTCTCTCCACTAATAAGCATATAAGATGCAATATACCTGTACTGGGAAACTCATAAAAAGCATACAAAAGGCTGGGGGAAACATTGTATTGTTTGTCAGCATCAGTACTATTATTTGATTTTCATCCAAAATCCATGCAGTGTATCTATGTTACACCTAGCATATTTCTTGGCATCTGCAAGTTAAGTAAATCACTGCTGTTAGGATTTTATCACTAAAGTATCATGTTATATCCCTTCCTCCTTTGGGTAATTTTCTGATGTGCTTATGTTGGCCCTAGATTTTTGTTGTAGTTTTGCAACAGGAAAATGGGTTCAGACATCTCAGGTATCCAAGGTCCTGGTTACAAAGTCATTCATTTAACTGACTGACTTTTCTGAGGAGTTACAGAATTAGAATCTGTTCTTGAAGAGCCTCCTGTAACACTTTGAGTTTTTGTCCTTCACATAGACATAGCTTCATGATCAAACCAAAAAAAGCAGACTCCAAACCTGAGTGAAGAGTGCATTCTCATTTTGCTGATTCTACAGACAGCTCTGCTGTGTGCTGGCTACCCCAGGCCATGCTGACTCATAGAAGCCAAAGAAGCAGGAGGAAACATTTCAGAAGAAGCAACAAACACACCACCTCAAATTCAGAACTTAAAAAAAAAAAAGGACTTTCTTTATTGAGGGCAGCATGATGCAAACAATATAAAAAACCAAAGCTTCTTTGTCACTGAATTCACTTTTCTCTCTCTGCTTGTCAAATTGGAGTTGGATGTTATTTGTGCATTTCCTGAGGGTCCTGATCTGCTCCTGAGAAGCAGCCAGGCAGGTTCCTCAAGGAGCCCTGTGGGAGGGAGGACCAGGGCTCCATACGGCCTACTTCTTCCCCTTCTGCTTCATGTGTACTACAAAATAGTCATTGCATGCAATGATGAGCCCTGCAACCAGGGATATAAAGCTCTGGAAGCCCACTTTGCCATCTCGGCACTGGTCCAGGTCCTTCATTATTTTGTCCAAAGCCAGGGGGTCCTTTTGATTCTAAAATAAATAAACATACAGATAGAATAAAAAAGAAGGAGAGCACAAAGGAAAACAATGTCCGTTAATGACATAGACAACTATAGCTTATCTGATCCAAACAACCATGTCCATAAGCTTACTCTCTCGAGTATTTAATCTCTTGTCTTAGGTCCTAAGTGACCTTTTAACTCAGCAGCATGTTTTTGTTTTTCTTGGGAATTCCCTTTCAGTAAAATCATATTTAGGTGTGCCTAAGAACCAACAATGCCATTTTCTACTTCAAGCTCTATTTTTTTAAACAAATTTTCACTCCCGATACCATGGTCAGATCTGTAAAAGGTGAACGTTTCATGAAGAGACCACCTCAGATTGCTCAGGTCACTGTTGTATCTGTTCTCAGCAGGTGCTAATGAGGACACTGGGTTTTAACTTTCGAGAAGATGCAGAGAGCTCTTTTTTCCTTCCCACAGTCAGGACCCAGAAAGTGTGTGTCATATCTATCATATTAGCTATGTAGCCGGTGTCCATCACACAGTTTAGTCTGTCTTCACATATCAACTCTGAGTAGAGGAGTTTGGATGTAAGTGCCCTCTTTAGGATGCCTTCCATTCCTCACGGCCTAAAACCAGGGCCTCCACATGCTAGTTACATGCTCCTGGCCCTCTTTCCATACTTTGAGCTGGTAAACCCACACCATCATATTCTTGTCACTTGTTTCAAAGCAAGTGTGTGTGTGTCTGTGTGTGTGTGGCCAGGAGGGTGACTCAGTTGGCAAGGTGCCAGCGCAAGAGCCTGAGTTTGGCTCCATAGCACCCACATAAATGCTGGCGCAGCAGTCCACTCCTGGAATCCGACAAGAGGGAGGCAGATACAGAAAGGTTCATAAGGCTTTCTGACCAGCAAGTCTAGCCAAATTGACCAGGTCCAGGTTCAGTGAGAAACCTTATTTCAAAAAATGTGATTGGCCTGTGAGAGAGCTCAGTGGGTAAGGGTACTCTTTGCTATATTTGATGACCTAAGCTAGATCCCCTGTAGCTCACATGAAGGAAGGCGATCCTACTTCGCCAAGTTTTTCTCTGACCTCCACTTGCTTGCTATGGTACACACACAAAATAAACAAATAAATGCAAAACAAAAAAAATAAAAGCAGAGAGTGATTGAGGGATGATACTTAATATCAACCTTTGGATTTTACACACACACACACACACACACACACACACACACACACTCAAATGAATTTGTGTGATAGAATGATAAACTCCTTCAATGCATAGCATGAACGTGTGGGGCAGGGAGAGACAGGCAGATGGTGTGACTTACATCTTGTTTCAATGGTGAGTAGCTTGATTATCTCTTTTGCTGTCCCACTGGTTAGAAGTACAAAAGTGTGGTTACTCCTATAGGCCCCTGATAGCTCAGAGAGCTGATGCAATACAAGCAGTTAAAAGGCACAAAGTGCTTAGCAACTCCAATGCCTGCATAATTCATGAGGGAGTGATGTGCAGTATTTTAAGTGTGCTAGATGCTTACAAATTGCACTCAGAGATCTCTTATGGTAAAGGAGTCATATTGTCTACTTGAGCCTGCAAACTCCTAGCCTAAGCTATCAGCTGAAACTTGCTCTATGTACCTAATTCTGGCCTCACCCCCTGCTTCCTGGCTGTGGTCAGAATGAGTGAAATTTGGATGACATAAGCCATCTACTTTAGAAACAAAATGCTCTGTTAATACAGGGAGTATGTGTCCAGAATTATGACCCTGTCTGTGCCTAGAATAAACTGCTCTGCTGTGTTTAGCACACCCCATTGCAAATATCCTTTTTGTTTCTCATGCCACAAAGCCTTGATTGATTATGGAAGGATCTGTGTTGAGAATGCCTCTGTAGGTATGACGGGCTGGCCTACAATGAGCACATTTTGCTCTTGCATTTTATACTTGTCTAGAAGGATCATGGCAAGTTAAAAGTAGGCGTGCAGATGATTGTGTTCAACACTCTCAATTTGGAAAAGAAGGAACCAGGACTAGAGAATGGAAGCAACTCTCTATTGTTAGCCCACAGCTAGATCTTCTAAGCCCTTGCCGGGGACTGCATCACAGTGCCTTATGCCAACAGAGGAACTGGACACTCCAGCTCACTCAGATAGCACTGGGGTGATTGCAGCTCAGAGGGAGGTGTCAAGTCACTTATTTAGCCAATATTGACGGTGTGTAAAAGCAGTTTTCTCCAAATTAGTGTAAGAGCCAAGGTCTTAGATAACGTGCTATTTATCAGGTAGATGTCAAGAGGCTGGATCCAGCCTTTTACAGTCACTTCCCTTTACCTTTCAGAAACTAATGCATTATTGAACACCCAGTACAAGAACCAACCTTTCTTTCCAGGAAAAGATAGGATTGTACCACAGTCTACTATTGTGTCAAGTGAAGTTTTGTCTTGGGTGAGCATTAAATTCAACAACTGTCTCTTGAGGGCCCACAAAGTCAAAAGACAACTATGCCTAGCTGACTTATTGTCTTGAGTGGCATATCTGAGGAGTCTTGGTCTTCAGCGGTTGTTCAGTCTGACCAAAGGAAGATAAAACCTAAACTATACTTCTAGGCTTCTAAGTTGCATTTTCATTGTAAAAAGCAATTATTTCTGGAGTGATATTTTGCCCTGATTCAGCTAACAATTAACATGATATTTTTATGAGTTAAAGGTAGAAAAAGGGGCCGGGCGTTGGTGGCGCACGCCTTTAATCCCAGCACTCGGGAGGCAGAGGCAGGCAGATCTCTGTGAGTTCGAGACCAGCCTGGACTACCAAGTGAGTTCCAGGACAGCCTCCAAAGCCACAGAGAAACCCTGTCTCGAAAAACCAAAAAAAAAAAAAAAAAAAAAAAAAAGGTAGAAAAAGGAAAAAATTCTTTTGGTGAATAGGGATTTTAAGATTTGAGTAGAGGGAAATTTTCTAGTGGAGCCCTGACTTTACATAAGTGAGGCCCTGTGCTCAACATGCAGCTCACACCCACACACAAAGGAGATTCAAGTTGTTCAAGTGGCAAATGACAAGAATGTGAAACCTCTACAATGAGTGTTAGAGACCTGAGGTGTGGCACCCCTTGGCCATGATACCCTTGTGAAAAGTCTTTTCCCTCATGTTGTTCTAGCAGGCATGGACATTTTCATCTGCAGACTGAGGGCAGGGGTGGAGTCTTTTCCACTTTGCTGCACCTGGGCTATCCTAGCACTGTCTACAAAGTAAACGAATGGAGTACTTCCAAGCAGTGATCCTACAGGGATGGAAGCAAAGGAAGGACAAGGGAAGGGGGCTTTGATTTTTATGTCTGGTTCTGAGACTTTCCACACTTACTTCCAAAAACCCAGGGAACTCCCTTTCCATGAGCACCCTGAGGTCCTCCTTTGTTAAGTAGTCTTTGTCCCCTGCAAATCTGTGAAATGTAAGCATCATGGTTTCCATGGCATGTTCCATCTGAGACGGCATCTTGAAGAGGTCTGTTGAAACCTGTTAACGGACACAAAGAAAGAGAGTTTGCCTTAACCTTTAAGCCACCTGCTGGAAGTCTGTAGAGGGTGGTCAAAAGGATAAAATAGGTCTAATCACCTTTCCAATAAAATTCAATCAATGGCAGGCCCTATTTGGGGTCTTTGCTGGTGGCAAGACACTTCAGGTATTGGACCTCAGAGTGTGGCATTTGCCTGGCTGTTAGCTACTCTGCATGGTTCCTAATCAAGATAAGAAGGTCTAACTTTCTGAAAAAGCAAGACAAGAGCTGCTCCTTTCAACTGGAAAGCACCAGATGAAAGATGATGTTTCCTTATTTCCCCTGGCACTGAAAATGTGACTCTTAGAAATGGCTGAAGCCCAAGAAGCCATGAGTCCAGCCTGGTTGACACAGAAAGTCCATCCTGCCATGCATGACGCAGGAACCTGAACCAATCCAATTCCAGAGATTAGAAATGTGCTTACAGATGGATGTGTCTGCTGGAAATGTATACTCTCCTAACACTCTGAACTTCTCTGGCAGTCAGTGCAGCTGTCCTGCCTGAATACAAGCTTCATACAATCATTATCAAGTTCAGCAGGGAAAGAACATGTAAGAGGGTACACAAGCTCCTTTAGGAGCCAGATATGTTTCTAGTAGAACTATACAGAGCGTTTTCCTTATAAACTGGGGTGCAGTTGAGAGACCAAGGCCCTTTCCTGATGAGGAGTTTAAAGAGAGGAAATGTTAGGTCACTGCATTCTGGTACAATGAACTGGGGCAAATGTTTCATCAAGACCCCATGCCTAACGGAGCTCAGTGTCCACATATAGTTTTGAGAACAGACAGAGGGAGAGATTGGCGCCTTCTCCCACTGAAGAGCAATGATGGGAATTTGGAGTGTTGCTTTGGTCTGATTCTTGATGCTGACAGATGCCTGTTCAGTACAGACCCCCAAGTTCTGTAACTTACCCCGACACACACTGAAACCTAGAACCTCACACATCCTGTGCCTGTCTCCTATCACTGAAGTACATCCCCCTGCTCTCTTTACACTTTCTATTTTGAGACAGTCTAAGTTGCCTAGGACAGCCTTCACTTGAGATTCTCCTGCCTCTTCCTCCTGAGTAGCTGGTACTGCAGGTCCGAGCCACTAGGCCTGGCTTCTAAGTATTATCTTTTACAGAGTCAAAGGTGTAGTGCTGAGGGCTAGCACTGAAAAGTTAGATTTAAGGATTGCAAAATGTTCCTCTTGTCTCCAAGAAGGTGGAAGAACCAGCTACAGAAAATGCCACTTCTGAGAACACTGTCAATCAGGATCTGGCGTGATTCATCTGTATGACTTGGACAGCAACAAGTTTGCACTTCAAGGTGTCTGATGCCATGAAAGTCAGAAGAGCCGCTCCTTTTTCTCTCTTGCCCTGTACTTCTCAGATCTGCCCCACCTCCCCACTCCTAGACACGGGTTTCTGGTGGTAGCAGAGAGCTTAGCGGGAGACCGCCTTGCTTGGATTGATTTGAAAGTGCGGGAACTGAACTGAACTGAGTAAACCACCTAAAGAAGGACGTGGGGTGCCACCTCAGCCCTTCAGAAATCCAGGAAAGGAGCCAGACACCAGTGAAGTTTAAAATGTCTATATTCTCATTCAGAACCACAGAGCTCTCCCACCTTGTCTGAAGGCCAAGATTCCAGATGACATCCCAGATGTTAGAACTGGGTGGACACCTACTGTACTTTCCTCATGGGTATTAGCAAAGCGTATTGCAGAGCTAGAGAAGGAAAAGGAATTGGCAGGATAGGGAACCCCCCAAGCAGAAAAACAGGTCAACTTAGTACTCTCTGGAAATGCAAGGTGATAGTCAAGGAAGTCCCGCCCTTGCTTGACATCCTCTTCAGGAGGGTGAGGTCTGGCTGCCTTAGCCAAGAATGGGTGCCTCAGGTCTGAGGTCAGTCCACTCCTTCCTTCCTTCCTTCCTTCCTTCCTTCCTTCCTTCCTTCTTCCTTTCTTCCTTCCTTTCTTCCTTCCTTTCTTCCTTCCTTTCTTCCCCAGCTGGTTACGAAGTGGCAGAGTCCCTCCCTGAAGCTCGGTGTCTGTCCTTTGGTCCCTTCTTCCTGTCTGCCCTAGCTGTTTTGTTCCGTATAGGTGAACAGAACAGCTAACTGGTTCCCTGATTGTTCAAGAGAACTTCAATAAGAATACAGAGATAGGGGCTGGCCAGAAAGGGAAATAGTTGAATTTCACAGAAGATTCCCTTGATCCCAGAGGGCTACAAACAAGAAATTGTTCTGGAGAAAGTTTTAAAGTAAGGCCAAGGATCCAGGTGAGGTAGGGGCAGTCCCAAGAACTATGAACCCAGCACTCGGGGGCGCAATGGGGCTGAGAAAGGAAAAATTAGTCTTCTAGGACAATCTGGGCTAGATAGACCCTGTCTCAAGAATCAAGACAACAAATCAAAAAAGTAAGACAAAGGAAAATGTGATAATGCTACTCTGTTAGATGAATGAACCATGCAGTCCTTCTCCAGTGAAATGGTCCCAGCCTAGCCTCCACGTTTGGGTGGGGCTTGTATTGCAAGGCTCACTACAGACAGCTCCATAATCATTTACTAGAGTGCAAGCTTTTCAGGAATCTGAATCTAGCACCTCCACTCCACCTAACATCCCACAAACTCCACTCTGGATGGGCTGGGTCTTCCCCTTCTAGTTGGGTAATACTTTGTCACAAGGGCCTTGGGACTTGGTCTGAGAAGTAGGGGACTCTGTTCAGTGTCCCTACCTGGTATGCACAATCAGATACCGTTGGTGACCCAATCTGCCTTGGCCCTACAGTTACCTTGGTCCAGAACCACATACCACCTGCTTCAGTTGAGAGATGACTAAATACCATTTATTAAATGGATGTCTCAAAGTAGCTGAGATACAGATAAGAATATCCTTAGACAGCTGACGGCTTTGCAGCTCAGAGTTCAGCAGTTAGAGGAGCTGAATTCTGGGAAGGGCGGGGGAAAGGGGCCTCAACAGGGTTCACCTATGCATGGCATGGCAGGGTACAGAGAGCACATTCCAAACACAAAGGAAAAAAGATGTGTGTCCTGCTAAGCAGGTCTGGTCGGATGGCCATGCTTCTCACTCCTGCTCCTTCTCTTGTTTTCACTCCTCACTCCTTCCACTGCCTCGCTGGCTCTTGGGGCAGACCTCTGGGCCCACTCACCTTTCCTTGAACCATTTTACTCTGATGTGTGTAGGGAGAGATCTTAGATACCGGTGCTGCCTGTGTTTATGCCCTTCACAGGTTAGCTTGAGCAATGGGCCTCAACTGTCCCTCTCTGCAGAAAACAATTCTGGTGTCTGTTTCTCTTATACCTTACACACCTCACTTATGAGGTTAGGTACCAACAATGTTCTCATTCTGTCTGTTGGTCTTTCAGGGAGGGCTAGAAGGCAGGGGGAGTCCCTCTTCCTGAGCAATTCGAAATGTCTGTCCTGGACCTATGCCCAGGCCTAGGCTATAAATCTCAGAAGCTGGAGGTCTGATTTTCTTTGTTCATCTGTATTTGGTCCATATTGTACTGTTCTTGAAGCCACCCAGAATTAATTAGGGTGAGCATAAACATTCATTATTTAGAAACATTTAGAGTTTCTGTTCTCTTGTTTAGGAGAATTTGAAGAATCCTTTCTTCTTTCTTTCCTTTTTTTAAATTGAACCCATAGGATGCTCTTGAATCTGACCGTTAAAGTATATTTGGAGGAGGAGTGAGTTTAAAATAATGGATTTTGACTCAGGCTCTCTGACCAAATAAAACTTGCTTACTACAGATGTGATCTGCAAAAGAAAGTTCCAGATGCAATTCAACAGGAAGAAAGAACTGAGAAACCTACTCTAACCCAACCAACAACATTCATTTTTCTGTGAGGAGCTGTCATGATTCAGCTGAAACCAACCAACAATAGCTACAGTGGCAGGTGGGAATTATTTAGTTGAAGGGATAGAAAGCCCTGAATATTGTCTTTGAAATAAAATCTACCCTTTCCTCCTTCCCTCTCTTTCCCTCCCCTTCTCCCTCCTTCACTCCCTCCCCCTCATTCCTTCTCTCCTTCCCTCCCTCCCTCCCCCCCTTTCTCCCTCCTTCCTTCTCTCCCTTCCTACCTCCTTCCCTGCCCCCTTTGAAAAGCAGCATGGCCCAGGAGAACTAGAGCCTCACACAGGCTCTAAGCATGTTACTTCCTTTTGCTTTTGATGTATGATTCCTAAGTTGTCAGTCCTGAGAAATTTGGAAGCTTAAAGTAGAGTCCATATTTAGCCTGGCTTTTCCCAGCACTGTGAACATTAATTTATATTTTATAATCCTGAAAGAATCCCATTGTTTCCCTCAGCTATGCTTAAATGGATGGACTGTGTCCAAGGGCAAATGAGCTTAGTGCTCAAAAAAATTTCTCTCTTGAGCTGTCAGTGGAAACCAGGGAGGCATCCAGCCTCAGCCCCACCCAGCCCCAGGGTCTGACCACACTGGGGTGACTGCTCAGAGGCTGGCCAGAGGCCAGGCATAGGAGGAAAAGGGCCCATCTCATGTTGTGTCCAGGAAGACAGGGAACAGATCACCCAGACATCAGAGTGAACCCATATATCTGCTCTATGCCAAGCAGACCAAGACCCCCTGTGAGCTGAAATGCAAGCTCTGATTGCTGGACCAAAGGTTACCACAAGGAAAGTCCCCTTTGACTGTCAGGAGCATTGATGCCATGTAAAATGGATGATTAAACAGACATTGCTAGGAATCTGTGGGGGAGGGCCAGGGTAATGAAATCTCAGTGAGTTACATGAACTCCTCCCTCCTCCAACTCCTGGCACTCTCATAAGCAGTTTGCTGAAACGACTGAAGGGTGTTTCTACCTCGATTGAAGGCCAAGTGGTAAAAATCCACGCCTGGAAGCTGAAACTCAAGCTTCAGGAGGAAAAACATGCAGCACCGACTGCAAACCTCTTCAGTGGAGAAGCAAACCCCAGTGAAGCTGAGGCTGCTGCCATAAGCCAGCAGCCCAGTGCTAATGGTCAACGGTCTTGTCATGGTCCTGCCGGTCTAATTACTACCCTCCCAGGCAGCTCAGTCAAGAAACCCCTCCTTCAGGTTGGTGGCCAATTCGAGTATGACTCACTTCCTCTTGGAAACTGCCCTGGAAGATGGCACAGTTCCTCTTTTCCTTCAGGGAGCATTCTGTCCAAACCATCCAGAGTATCAACCAGCCGGCCGCACCCATCCTCTCAGAGCTGAGTCACAGGCCTCAGATCACTAGGAGAATCCTGGAACTCTTTGAGCTAACCCCACCCTGCAGAATCTAGCTGCCCTGGGGTGGGAGTAGGAGAATGGAGGGAGGTGGGTTAGTGAGTTTCAGAATTTGGCTCTGGGCTCTTTGCTGATCTGTTACTTTTCTGTTTGCCTTGCCATCCTCTCAACAGTTCTCCAGAATCCTCCCAGGTTGGAAAAGAGACCATTCCTGTGGCCAAGAAGTAGGTACCAATGAATATCGATCTCACAGCACTACACCAAATTAATTCATCAGGGACTGAAGATTCTTCACCAAGCCGGCTCTCACTCCACCTCTTTCTGGTTCCCTTTTTTTAATTCAATAACGAGAAGGAAACTTGATAGAGTAAAATCGCCTCACTCCCTCTCACCTCAGTACTTCATGAAGACAACAAATAAAAGGCCCCGCCTGAGCTCTAAGATCCTTCCCTACCAACCTGCAACTCGCCCTGTAGCAGGACCCTCTGGAAGGGAATCCTCCAGCTGCCAAGCCTCCAGTCCTCCCTGGCCCAGATTGGTTAAGGCAGCCCTGGTGTGGAGAGAAGGCTATGAACATTTGGACTGAGGTCTGCCTGCAGCCAAAGTTTCGAGGAACACACCAGCTGGGACGAGCGAGCGAGAGCCGGATCTGCTTAACTCTAGATAACTCTTAAGACTAGTTACAAAGAAGGAAAGGTGAGAGTGAAGAGCAGTTCACCGAAAGGCAGGCGGTCAGAGGAACACCAGGGCGGGGTAGCTGCAGACCAGTGGCGCCTCCGCCCTAGCGGGTCTGGGGGTGTCTGCGAACCCGTGGGTGGCCCCACCCAGGCCACGGGACGCGGCGCAACGCAAAGCCGGGCTGGAGCTCGGATCAAGCGGGTATGGGGCTCCCTACGGGCAGGTGTGGGGTACAGGACTCACCTGAGCCCCGAGGCGCAGCAGTCGTGGGAAGAGCTAGACTCACAGCTGTGAGGCAGCGCTGAAGGCCGGCGGTCTTTGTACGCACGGGGCGGGTGCAAAGGGCGGCGGCGCCCCGGAGCGGGAGGAGCCTGGAGGGCAGGCAGCCGCGCTCCCCACCGGCTCCTCCCTTCCTGCCCCCCACCCCACCCTTCCCCGGCACACACACACTGTCTTCTCTCTCTCTCTCTCTCTCTCTCTCTCTCTCTCTCTCTCTCTCTCTCTCTCTCTCTCTCTCTCTCTCTCTCTCTCTCTCTCTCTCTCTCTCTCTCTCTCTCTCTCTCTCTCTCTCTCTCTCTCTCTCTCTGTCTCTCTCTCTCTCTGTCTCTCTCTGTCTCTGTCTCTCTCTCTGTCTCTGTCTCTCTCTGTCTCTCTCTGTCTCTGTCTCTCTGTCTCTGTCTCTCTGTCTCTGTCTCTTTTCCCTCCTTCCCCCTCCCTCCCTCCCTTCCTCCCTCCCTCCCTCTCTCCCTCTCCCTCTCCCTCTCCCTCTCCCTCTCCCTCTCTCTCTCTCTTTCAGACTCTCTCTCCACACACGCGGTCACACACCCTTCCCACTCTGCTCTACTGACAGAGGAACCTCGCCTGTCCCCAGGGACAGTCCTATTGTAAACGTCCCGAGAGCAGGAATGCTCTTAGTCTCGAATATTTCAGGGCATCCCCACCCAGGGCCGTGCCCTTCCTCTCGGGTTTGGTTTTAGAAAGCGGGTGAGTGTAGAAATAAGAATCCAGCTGTCCTGTAGGCGGGGCACACTGGCCCAGACCCAGAATCAAGGGGTTCTACCAGAACCTACCGGTTTAGAAATCATTTCTAGATGGCAAGGAGGAATGTGTAAATCCTGAAGACCTGGGCAGCTCTCAAAATAGGCCACCTAGTTTGCTCTTGGATCTGGGGTCTTCAAGGTTAAGCACAGAAGTTAGGCACCCGTGCTCCTGCTTAGTTTTGGTGGGTGCTGTTTGCTCTGTCAGCTTCAGGGGCATCTCAGAGCTCTTGGAAAAGGGTTCACCTTTCCTGGTACAGCTTGTACCATGAGTTTCAGTTATTGCCAGTATGACTAAAAGCTGTTTGGAAGACATTTCTGGAAGATATTTAGAGAAAACTGGAGTTTCTCCTAACTGATGTTCACCCACCCCCCCTTACTTATTTTAATTGTGGCTTGGGGTTAAATACAGACTACTAGCAACAATTGGTGACACAGCCCAGTCCCTAGTGCTGGGGTTTCCCCTGCTCCCAGAGGAAGTCCTGTAGGGATGAGAGATTCCAAAGGAATGAACAGAATCAGGGAATCCTCCAAGTGCCACCACGTGACAGTCTTGGCTGGGGTCAGGAAAACCCAGTTTGGTTCAGCTCTCTTTTCTCCAGGGTCTCCTAAACCTCAGCTCTGGTTCTTCAGGGAGACAGTTCTTCCAAATCTTCCTACAGGCCTCTGAAGCCCCAGGTCGTCCATACCAGTGGAGAGTGGAGGAAACCCTGCCCCTTCCCTTGGTCCCAAGGAAGATGCAATTGGATTTAGGCTATTCCTACCCACTGGCTTTCTTCATTTAGGCCACAAGACTTAAAATGTTTAGTGTGTGTTAGGCCCTGGGGATTCAGAGACGAAAGAGTCCTTCTTTTTCTCTCAAAGAACCCCAACTTTGCTGGGGAGATAGTAAGCATAATTCCCAGCGATTGGTGAATAGTAGGAGACAGTCTGATTCATGGAGGAAGCAACATTTGTTAAGAATTCAGAAAATAATCTAGCTGTCACTGTAACTCTTTAAAAATATTACAACCTAAGACTAGAGAGATGGCTCAGAGGTTAAGAGCACTGGCTCTTCCAGAAGTTCTGAGTTCAATTCCCAGCAACCATATAATGGCTCACAACCATCTGTAATGGGATCTGGTGCCCTCTTCTGGCCTGCAGGCAGACATGCAGACAGCACTGAACACATAAATAAATAAATCTTTTTTAAAAGTTACAACTTTGTAAAAATGTATATGGGTGCTCATTGTGCTGAATGAATGTTTTCTTGAAATTATTATGTGCCTGTGTCTTTAAGCATGTGTGCACCCCCACGTGCACATGTGCCAGAGCACAGATGTGGAGGTCAGAGAACAGTTTTTAGGAGCCACCCTTTTCTGGTTCTGTGGGATTTGGAGATTGAAGTCAGGTCACCAGGCTTGCACAGCAAGCACCTTCACTCTCTGAGCATCCTGCTGACTCAAGCATCATATTCCTTTTGTGGAGGACTTGGAAAACATAGCAACTAAAACAGTAAGTAAATACATTTATAAATGTACAAACCAGCCGGGCGTTGGTGGTGCATGCCTTTAATCCCAGCACTTAGGAGACAGAGGCAGGCAGATCTCTGTGAGTTCGAGGCCAGCCTGGTCTACAGAGTGAGTTCCAGGACAGCCTCCAAAACAATACAGAGAAACCCTGTCTGAAAAAATCAAAACAAAATGTACAAACCAAAGGATAAACATTTTCCTGCATTTCTTTCTAGTCTTATGCATGTATTTACATAATTGTGATAGCATTCTCTTTTTGTTCTACAACATTCCTCCTCTCCCTGTCCTCTCTCTGTTTCTGGAGTACTGGGGTACTCTCACTCTGCTACTGAGTTACATCTCTAGTCCACGTTTGCTTTTCTGCACCACTGTTTATCAAGAGTATCATGTTCACTCACTCATTAGGCCCCTTTTCATTTAGCTAGTGTTTTCTTCAATCTGCTAGAGGACTCTAGGATTCTGAAGCCTTGTGTGTGCAGCTCCACAAAGAAGTTTTTGAAACTGTGCATGCTGAGGGTACATGCTGAACAGAGCCAGCGGGATGGAAAGGACTGCAAGTATTCCACCCACACATGGAGCTTCTAAGCCACTTCATGTTCTGATAGGTCCATGAAGCTTCTGAGTGTTATGAATCTTTAGGAAGCTGATGGGCATGTTGATAATCCCAGCACTTGAGAGGCAAGGAGACTGCGCTTTTGAGGCCTGCCTGGACTACATAGTGAAGCAGTTCAAAACGAACCAAAACACTCCTCTCCAGAAAAGGTGATATGAGCCAGGTCCTTTCTGCGGGAGATGGCTACGTCTTATCAACCACATGGGTTAAGTGGGGCCTGCCCTGCTTCCCTAGTAACAACAGCTGACTGGAGCAGAGATCAATCAGCTCCTGAACTGGAGCTGCTCAGTAACGGACCGAGTTGGCGCCAGCAATGACGGGGAGATGTGCAAAGAACAGCGAACCGAACAGCACTGGAGGAACCGGAGCTGGATGTAGAGTGGTCCCGGAAATGAAGAGGAAGCCATTTACAAGTTGCCCACCGGGCCTGAGGTACCTTCTAGTGTGCAGAATGCTACCAGCAGGAGAGTTACTCTAACATTAAGGCAATACAAGAGATCCTTCCTCCTTCTCCACGAGGAATAGTAATAAAACCGCGTTTCCGGTGGCTCTCGGCCATTTTGAATCTGTGGCCGGAGCACAGAAGTGTGGGCTATTCACTAGAAATGTCTGTTTCTCTTCCACACAGTAGGACTGTTTCTGAGAAGTGGCCGCTTAGCCAGAGAGTATGTTTCCAGCACCTCTTACATCCAACTGAAACTATGTGACTAGTCATCCACAGAATAAGATTGCAAGTGATGTGAGTCATTTCCAGACTCAGGCAGCAAAGGTGACCCCTTGTGCTTTTTATTTATGTCTGCTCGGACTCCAGGGCTCTAGAGACAGGAGAGCCACAGCTGGGAAAAGCATAGGTCCTCGAATCACTATATGGCAGAAAACTACTTGTTGACCACGAACCCATCAGTAGGCCAGTTATGTGGGTAAGAAAGACCTAAGGCTTAGAGGGGTTATTTGTTATATCGTAAACTGAGTGGGTAGAGAGACATTCTTTTGAGTGCTAGCATTTTTGGCAGCACAAGGTCATTGACCAATCTGTACTAGACACTGATGGGATGAAGTGTTCATAGGTCCTGGAAATTATACTGTTTGTTTCATCATGTGGGTTAGGTTGTGCCCTGTACCATGCAGAAACCCAGACAGCCTACCTGAACATTCTGTCTAACCAGAGACTAGGTATGCATAAATTGTAATGGAGAAACCTTATCAGTCAATTTCAATGCTCTTGGAGGAGTCATAACAGTCCTGCGGGGCACTTCAGTTATGCTGATCTCGTCAAGACTTTTTTGCAGGCAGTACAAAAATGGAAAAGAAAAGAAACTAATCTAAGTAAATATGACTGTACTAGTGCACCCCAAAATAATGAGTTAAATGTCTAAGCTGTTTCTAATTATTATACTATCACAAATAATAAATCACATAAGGTATAAAAAGACCAGTTTTGAATAAATACCTTTGCCCACATGCTTGCTTTATATGCCTCCTTTTATGAGTTTGCTTATGTGGTTCTTAAAGGACCAGTACCAAACAGGCATGTTTTTGATAGGGGAAGATAGGAGGAAAAAGCAGGAGTTGGAATGGACTCGGGAGTGTATTGATTCCAGGAACTGCCCCAGTGGCATAGGAAAAATGCAAAGTTCTTAAAGCTCAGAGTCCCTACAGACACTGGTGCCCTTGTTGGCACCTGCTTAGGAAGTGGGAGTTTGTTTCTAAGGTAATGAGAAGCCACTGAAGAATGTAAACAGGAAGTGAGCAACTCTCCTGCTTAGCACTGTGCTCTAGGTGCAGCACCACAGCCAGTCAGCATTTCCTTGTGGTAAAATGGGGATGGGTCCATCTTCTAGTGCCCAGACCAAGAGGCACCTAATGAACAAGAAGTTGTCCAGCTCACTCTCAGCAGGTCCCAGCCCTTCTGTGTGATCTACTTTGCAAGAGAAGTAGAAATCACTGACCTCATGAGCTGTGCTATATAGTTTTATGTCACCTTGACACAGCTAGTGTCTTCTGGAAGGAGGGAACCTCAACTAAGAAAATGCCTCCATAAGATCCAGGCTGGAACCTTGAAAGAACAATTCTCAACTTTATATGGAAAAACAAAAGACCCAGAATATCCAAAACAACCCTGTACAATAAAGGAACTCCCAGAGGCACCACCATCCCTAACTTCAAGCTCTATTATACAGCTATAGTCCTGAAAACAGCTTGGTATTGGCACAAAAATAGACAAGTAGAC